TTCAATTTAGATCTAGATCTAGCATTATAGATCTAGTACCTCATTAAAAAAAAACAAAACCAAAAGAGTTTTTAGCCTGATTAACGGGATTGAAGCCTAACTAATTTCAAGAAAAATTATAGGCCTTATATTGGGAGAGTAGAGTGGATAACTGACGTCACTTTCACGGGTTGGGGGGGGGGGGGTGAATGGAAGTGGCCCCTTTACAAAAAGTATTAGTAGGCTCCTACAAAGGCGTTACACGTGGGAAGCAAAGAAATTGACTGCTACTTACGTACGAGGGAAGGGTTCTAAATAATATAACTATTCTGTACATTTTATACGTCCTGATTTGTATTATACTATATTATTAAGTAGGTCTATTACCCTGTAGTTTTGTTAAACAATTTATTATTATTTTTTTTTGTTGGGAGCAGATGGTTCTTTTTAGAACTTTTAAAATTTTTCTACAGTAGAAAAGAAACTGGATTTACATTTTAATTTTAAAACAAGTTTTAAAATTCCAATGTAATTTTTTTAGTAAACAGCTAAAAGGGTCCCTATGTTTCTTAGGTCACATTTGAACCCCTAGTTCCCGATCCCTAAAACCCTAATCCTCTTGTACACACAAGAGACTCAATGAGAAAAGGAAACTATGAGTAAAAATCGAGCATAATGTTATTATTTTAATGAACATGTATACGTAAACCATCATCATCGATAGTTCTTCTTGGTATGCCGGTCACTCCAGTAGGTAGACCTTTTTTTCAGACCAGTGTTTCTTCTACCCCCCCCCCCCCCCTTCCCCAGAACGAACTGGAATTTATATAGAAAATATATACTTTTAACAGTGTCCGCTCCACCCTCCCCGGAAATTTTAATCCGCCCCCCCCCCCGGAAATCTCAAGTGCCCCCCCCCCCCGGAGAAAAAGTCTGAAAGAAACACTGGTTCAGACAAAGTTACGTGTGGACAAATTGAATCACGATTGTTGGAATTTTCAAATCGTCTTTTCGTCTCAAATTACAAGTAATAAACAGAACACAAAAAATGGGAAGGTAACAATCGTCCAAAAAAGCGTGACGTCATTTATGGATGACCCCTATATATCAGTGTTTCTTCCAGACTTTTTTCTCCGGGGGGGGGGGGGGGCAGAGGCGTATCCAGGTTTTCGTTGTAGGGGGAGCGAAAAGAGCAAAAAAAGGCGCCGAATTTTTAACCCGTTCTATATACGTGTATTATATATATATATATATATATATATATATATATATATATATATATATATATATATATATATATATATATATAATCACTAGCTGTATGTCAGTACTTCTCTATGATGTAAAATAAATTGAAAGTAGCACTCTGAAGAAATAAGAAAAAACACACAATGTAGGCCGACAAAACAAAATTTGAAATTTGTATCAATCTAACATATATATACACACATATATATATATATATATATATATATATATATATATATATATATATATATATATATATATATATATACATTACATCCAAATACAATGAACGTAACACAATCTGTTTTGTTATTCTTGTAAAAAAATTTCTAACATAAAAATTCCTGGGGAATTATTTAAGACAAGTGAAATAGGGGAAATAATCACTCTCTTATATAAATATGTATATATCTACACATGTATATATATTAATGTCAAAACAAATAAATAATTACTTTAGAATATAATGAAATTGTTTAACACTATTCGTGTTAACATAATGTTTTTGTCTCTACTCAGAATTTAATATATCGTCATCATAAATGCTAAAGTATTAAAGCATAATGAAAGTTTTTAAAATCAGAGTTGGTATAAAACCATGCTTTTCAATTTTATTGCAGAACGATCGGGATAACAGCCTACATTTGACTAAGCATCGGTCTTTATAGTTCAGATCATATATTTTTAAAATAACTACTGCTTCTTTGTGTTCTTTAAATATCATTTTTTTAACATAGTGATAGGTATGGGTTAGATCACTGTATTGATCACACACCTTTTTACTTGGAAATTGCAAAAACAATATTCACAGAGTTTTTAAAGCTAATTTTCTGGCGGCATGGTACTTTGGTACATCATTACGCGTTTTTCTACATGTACTTAACAGATCAGTTCGGGGTGGGTTGGGGAGGGGGTTGGGTTCAACTTCATTCACCACTGTCCGGTCACTTTAGGTCAATTATCCAACCCAGTGTATACCTAGGTGTGACATTAAGGTCGCTCTACATAATGGTGGTAGTGAGGTGTATGTGCGTGGGGGGGGGGAGATAACCAACTCAAGAGTGAACATAGCGTCAGTCTTTTAAACATTGCAATGCATCGCGATGGTTATTTTTAAAATGAAAAACTGATGCAGCTGTTAATACGTGTTGTAAACGTAGACACTACTAGACTAGTACAATAATTGCTTCATGAAAAGAAATCTTGTGATTTACATGTGCCGACCAAAATTTTTTTTAACAAATATCATTGTTTAAAACTTTGAGTTTAAAAAGTTTCCAAAAAGGCGCCACTTTGCTGAAAATGGCCAGAGGGGGAGCGGCCGCTCCCCCTGCTCCCCCCCTGCGTACGCTACTGGGGGGGGGGGGCACTTGAAATCTTCGGGGGCGGGGCGGTAAACTTTCTTCGGGGGGGCGGACACTGTTAAAGGTATATATTTTCTATCTAAATTATATAAATTTCATTTCGTTCGGGGGGGGGGGGGGCGGTAAAATTTTTTCGGGGCTTAGCCCCCCCGAAGAGATGCCTGGAAGAAACTCTGCTATATATTCAAGCCTAAAAGAAGTGTAGCTGCTGAAAACATGTTTTCTTATAACAACATTTATGTTTTTTTTTCTCCACAATGAATTTTTCCGTCTATTGAAATTACATCAAGGACTAACTGTTTAGACAGTTTACGTCCAACTTATTTTTGCTTTGCAGTGAGTTCTCTTATGCTGAAATGTGTCGTGGTTTGGAAGAGGTGAGGTGGTCTAGGTCAGTGGCGTAGCGAAGTCGGGTGTTACCCGGTGCGGTCCGCCCCCCCCCCCCTCGCTACGCCTCTGGTCTAGGTAATGTGAGGAAATTGTAATTGTTTCAATCTCGTGTATATAATAAGTGCATTGCACTTTATCGCACGATAATCTAATGCAGACTAGTGTTTTATGTAGCTTTTTTATGCATAATTTGTCAACAGGATATGGTTTACTAAGAGTATAGTGATAATATAGCATTTGTACAAAGTTAAGTACATTCATACAATAGTTCTATTAGTGAAACAATAAGACAACCTGTTTTATTTTTCCATGGACAAGTTATCGAATTTCCCCTTAAAGAAAAATGTGCAACTCTCTCCCATCTTCACATTATGCCAAAACAAAGATTCTTGCTATGGTTTTATTATGTTAGCTTTTAAACAATTATTTTGATATATAAATTGTGGTGATGAGTGTTTTTGAAGTAACCACCCAATTTTGGATGTTAATCTTTTATTTATTTGCTGGATTCACAGCTTATTTTGTTACCTGATGTTTGAAAAGAAGAATCAAATTCTTATCTTTCTTCCTGGATGGTTTTTATTTTTATCCTTTTGGGTGTACAATTATTTATAGTCCTACACTAGGTGTAGTTATGTTAATCAATGATTAAATTTGTAATATTTATTCATAAGAATTAGGTTCTGACTACATTTAAAAATATATTTGATGATTTTGGCCAACAAAATTTCTAAATCTTATCCATTGATTATATTTATAACCCTAACTTTACTGACCCAGAGGGACAGCATGGCCAGACAGTGGAGTGCACAGCTGCTAGCTTGAAAGTCTCGAGTTTGTTTCCTGGAATCTGAGTCTATCCCATTCTAGTTGGTATCAGACTTACTTTGTGGAAAGTAAAGGCAACTGCCATTATTGCTGACCTAGCAATCTCTTCATATGTTGGGTTCACAGAAATGGGTTAACTTTATTTCTTCTTTATATACTATGTGCCCAAAACAGCACTTTAACCTATTAGTCGAAAACTTTTACTCTATACAATAACACAAAAGAAATAAGGTAAACAAAAAAAAGATTAAAATTTTTAATTTATCTAATGAAAAAACATGAGTTTAACTCACACAAATTAACTCATAGGGTATAATCATGTGTTTTTGATGAACCACTTTTCTGAATAATAATATTTGTTATTTTTCAGTTTAATATATTACAATTTGAAAATTATAACTAACATTAATAGTTTGCTTAAAATGGTATTTTAACCACACGATTTAAAAACATTTCATGTTTACACGATGAATAAAAAAAAAAGAAAAATAACTATAGTAGAAAAGTAAAGTATTATAACTTGGCCCGTGGACTACTTTTTGTATCCATTTAAATAAATCAAGAACAAAGGTCAATACCAGTTGAATATTTAGAAATACAACAGGAATTTAAAATAATGGTTGGTAATAATGTATACATTTATATTCAACAAAGAACAAGATTTAAAATGATTTATGTTATTACATAAGGAATGGTGGGTATTATTTATAGGTAACACAGACGTAATTAAAACTCATCGCTATCAAACTCAATACTTTGCAACAATTAAACCAACACATTTTTAAAATTCAACATAACTTGTTTTACTTGTGTGGTACCAGATCTACAAAAACATGATGCTATTCTACAAGTGTTTTGTATAAACTCAAATTCTTCTTAAGATTTTTTTGAAGTGATGATTGACTCATGTTAACTACTAATATATTAGCTATTAACTGTTACATCTACTCCCCCTGCATCATAAGGCAGGGGTGCAGTTTGCACCAAGTGACACTGTTTGGTGTAATTGTAAGTATTGCTTTCAAAACAATGTTCAGTCCAGTTAAGATAACAAAATAATAGGGGGAGAGGGGTGACACCAAATCAAAAATGCAAAATTGTTCAAAGTGGATAGGGTGAGACCCTCACTTAAAGCACCAAGTGACACCTTCAGTTAAAGTACCAGGTGACACCCTCAGTTATAGCACAAAGTGACACCCTCACTTAAAGCACCAGGTGACACCCTACCTAATGATGCCACTGTTCCTAGGCATGTGCAACATCATTAATTAATGTCCACTTGCATGAACTTGCTACAGATTGTGGTATAAACACATAAAACAGTATAAACACAGGATACAAGCTATTAGTCCTGCATCAGACAGAATGTTTATTTTAGGCAGATAAAACTTAAAAATCTAAGTCAAAATATGTAGAACCTGAAATAGGAACATAAACTAGGAGCTGACCATATTTTTGAGGGTAAATAATGTAAGCTATTTGTATTTAAAACTTTTCTAAATAAAAAAATTTTTTTTGATTAAATAAATCCTATACGAGTCATTATCTATTGCAAAAATCATCTGTTATACTTATAGAGCAAATATGCTCCGCGATAAAAATACTTGTAAAAAAAGCCATTTTGCGGTTGGTCTCTCCAGTAAAAACACTTACTTTTACATTTCTAGTGAATATATAGTGAAGCATTTTGAATTATTTTAAAAACATTTTTTTAAAGAAAAAATTAGTGCTTAGTTCCATAACACTAGTGTTCTATGACACACAATTCTTATTAAGATACTGTTTTTTACAAAATATATTTTTTTACTTTCATTTGGAAAGAAATTTACTTTGGCTATTTGAAAAGACATAGAATACAGATGTTATGACAAAATCACATTCAAGTTAATCTCTAGAATTGACTTTTCTATGTCTTACTAAATAAGACTTCTGATTTATATTTTTTCACAAACATCACATCTATTTTTTATTTTCAAAGTAAATTCCTGTATGTTTTAAATTATACTTAAGTACATACTTTTTAAGACAAACATCATATTTATCTTCAGAATGAAATTTTCTGTCTTACTAAATAATACTTCTGAACAAACTTTACAACAAACATCACATTCATGATCATCTGAAAAGTGGATTTTTATAGTCTTTTAAAATTACACTGATGTAAATACTTTTCATGTCAAACATGTCAAAGTGAATCTTTGCATGACTTTTTAAACTACACTTATGTACATACTTTTTATGACAAACATCACATTCATGTTTATCTTCGGAATGAACTTTTTTATGTCTTACTAGGTGTGATATCCCATTAAACATTTTATGACAAATATCACATTTATGTTTATCTACAAAGTGAATTCTTGTATGTCTTTTTAAACTACACATATGTACATACTTTTTATGACAAACATTACATTCATGTTTATCTTCAAAGTGAATTTTTGCATGACTTTTTAAATGAAACTTATGTACATACTTTTTATGACAAACATCACATTCATATTTATCTTCAGAATGAACTTTTCTATGTCTTACTAGGTGAGATATTTGATTAAACTTTTTATGACAAACATCACATTCATGTTTAGCTTCAAGATGAATTTTTGTATGTCTTTTTAAATTACACTTATGTTGATATTTTTTATGACAAACATCACATTCATGTTTATCTTCAAAGTGAATTTTCGCATGACTTTTTAAATGAAACTTATGTACATACTTTTTATGACAAACATCACATTCATATTTATCTTTGGAATGAACTTTTAGATGTCTTACTAGATGAGATATTTGATTAAACTTTTTATGACAAACATCACATTCATGTTTATCTTCAATGTGAATTTTCGTATGTCTTTTTAAATCATTCATATGTACATACTTTTTATGACAAACATCACATTCATGTTTATCTTCTGAATGAACTTTTTTATGTCTAACTAGGTGAGATATCTGATTAAACATTTTATGACAAACATCACATTCATGTTTATCCTCAAAGTGAATTTTTGCATGACTTTTTAAATTAAACTTATATACAAACTTTTTATGACAAACATCACATTCATGTTTATCTTCGGAATGAACTTTTCTATGTTTTACTAAGTAAGGCTTCTTATTGAACATTCTATGACAAACATCACATTCATGTTTGCCTTGAGAATGGATCTTTTTCTGTTTGGATGCATAATGCTTGGATTTACAAAAACATTTTTTTTCATAAGCATCACATGCAAACTGTTTGCATCCATAAATACTGTTATTAAATAGTGTTAATGCTGATGCAGCTTGCATCTGTCCTGTGTGGAGTTTTATATGCTGTGTAAGGTATTCTAAGCTCACAAACTGTTCATTACACATATCACATTTGTAAATCTTGTTTTGTCGAAACATCAACTGTTCATCAAAAGATAAATGATCTACAAGTTTTGCATTTAAACACTTCAGTTCTTTCAAATCCTTATAAATCAAGAGTGAAATATTTTCAATATGAGCTGTTGAATCTGGTGAATCATTTTGTTGTACGTTTGAATATTCTGGTTTCTCAAGCTTCAAAATGGAAAGTGTTGGTACTTGTGGTTTTATGTCCACAAAACTTGAAAAGTTAGATATAATATCTGGTTTTATTTCCTCACCTGATTCTTGCTTGATTGCATTGGACGATTCTTTAAAAAAATTTTCTTCATCCATTTCAAACTACTTGGGAATTAAAATGAAAAATTTCTGATTATTACAACCCTAAAATAATTAATAACAATTTAGTAGGATTATCTTCATTGAAGCTGAACAAGAATATATTAAATAGTAGGGGTATGAATACAGATACTGTTCAGGAAATCTTTAGGATGAAATAAATTGCTATATTGCCAATCAAGCAGTCAAATCAAAAGTAATGATAAGAATTTTAATATTTTTTAAAATGATAAATAATTTGAATATGAGGTCTTGGGAAATAGAAATGTATGCAGATGAAAAAATTATAAGCAAGATTTAGAATGCTAAACGAAGATGGCGTGGCCTAGCGGTAGAGAGCTAGACTGCTAACTCGAGAGTCTCGAGTTCAAATTCTGGTTCAAATCAGTGGAATGTACTTGAGTCCACCCAGCTCTGATAGGTACCTAACTTAAGTTAGGGAAACAAACGCAGCTGGGCATAGTGCTGTCCTTCGTATGTCTGGGTCATCTTAAGCAGATGAGCTCTACTTCATCTGCCCTATGTGGGGAAATGATGATGCTGATGAGAATGTTAAATTAAAACTTTTGCATCTGTATAAATTCAGTAGGCCAAAAATAAAATAAAATTAACAAGTAGATCAACTACTATTGATTTAATACACATAACACACACATGCTGGTATGGTATGACAATTAAAAAAAAAATTAAAAAATCAAAACAAAGAATACTTACATAGATGAACACTTTACATAATCTGAAAGAGAATTATCTGTTTATCATTGAATGCTATTAGTACATGCTGGTAGAGGCAGGCTTACTAAAAATTAAAATATTACATTAATTATTCACACAGTACATTATATATGTATATATATATATATATATATATATATATATATATATATATATATATATATATATATATATATATATATATATGTATATATATATATATATATATATATATATATATGTATATATATATATATATATATATATATATATATATATATATATATATATATATATATATATATATATATATATATATATATATACCTCTTATTAAATTGCATGCAGATCTTGTATATGGATATATGGATCTAGAATCTACTATAGATCTGTTCTCTATTTTTTCTATACAAATTAATGTGTAGATTCCACCCATGACATGCTCTAATGAGTAATGTTCAAGACTGGTAGAATCTAATTGTTAAATGGAGTTTAATTAGTAAGTAATTAAAGCTAAATTAAATCAATTAAATTAACAATTAATAGATCTATATAAATGATGAATTGATGGATGATAATAGATTAAACACAAGTATGGTTAACATAAAAGCAGTTGTATTTTATTGATGCGCTCAAGTTCGTATCCAGATACTGACTGATAATTCATCATATAACAACTTGACAACAGGGGTGCAACTTAATATTTTTACAGGGCATAAATGCCTGGTTGAAATCCCTGTTTAACTTATTCAGTGGGATTTTGCCATTAAAGACAAGTTAAAAATGTCTGAAGTTCCACTTTGCCACTTCGGGTTGATCCCATTACATTATCTTGGTAGTTAATTCACATTTTGTGATGAAGTTTTTAAAATGAGGAGATCTGATGTTATTGAAGTAGTTTATGAATTAATTAAACATTGGGATCTGGGAGGGGGGGGGGGGGTAGGGTTAACTAACTAAAATACTAGGTTCTAACTAGAAACTTTTTACTAGAAAGTCTCTAGACTAGAAAGAGTCTAGTCTATACTAAGTCTAGATCTAGCTAGTCCTAGACTAGGTCTAGGTAAAGTAGCTAGACTGTCAGTCTAGATCAGTAGATCGGTAATCTATCGTTTTGGGTACGTAAAATCGCCCACAGCTATTAATGTACGAAAAAGTTACCTCATTATCAAGGCTTTAATAGAAGTATATTGTGATATATTTGTGTCAAATGTTATAGATAAATGAATAATAAACCTAAATCAATGGCTAAATATATCAATATAGGCCAGAAATTAACTTTAGACAGCAGTGTTTGCGAGCAAGATTTGCTATATAAAAAGCAGCCATTTGTAAAATAGAGTGGCTTCCCCCTGAATCTCGCGCTATAAGTTAAAAAAAAAAAATTAAACAAGATGGCTGCTATAGTAAATGAACATGGTTGCATCTGTTGGAAACATCGCTAGTCTTCATTTATTACTGAAAAGTTTTAATTCAGTTGTTTAAAAACAGGTACATAAAAAATGAAACTAGGAAACATTTTTGTATTTTTCAAAACATAAATCCTCCTCAAAATGTGAAATAATTATTAACATTTAAGGAGTCACCTGATTTCACATTACTAGTCGCGGGCGATTTTACGTAGATCTACCTAAAACGATAGATTACCCTAGAATCTAGTCACTAACTGAACTACTAGAGTCAAAGTCTAGATTCTAGTTCTAGAATCTAGTCTAGACTCTACAATACTCTAGATATAAAATCTAGATCGAGTATTATATACTATTATTACTATTATACCAATTTTTTAGCATAAGTAACTGATTAATAAGTAGATTCTAGAAATCTAGATCTAGATAATAGATAAAGTTCGACTTCTTGTCTAAAAATCTAGATCTAAAATCTAAGTTAATTCTGATAATTCAGTGTTTGTTTGGTTTAGCCAGTTTAGGGGTTAGGCTGAGTGTTTAGCTTACTAAAACTTAAATTATAAATAGCTTTGCTTTAACTTTAGTTTTGGAGAGACTTTATAGTATATTATTACTAACAAAAGGTAGGGGCCTAATTCATTGTTAATTTTAAAATTGTTAGAAATGTTTTAATTTTAGAACATGCTTACCTACTAAAATCTAAATAATGATTTTTAAAAAATGTATTTTTGTTCACTTAACAATTTCAGTGCAAGGCGGAAGTGACCTTGTTTTCCCGCAATATGGAACTTTTTCTTTATTAAACCCAAAAATAGATTTAGATCCAAATCGGATATTTAATATCGCATTTTAAAGTAATCATTACAAGACCGAGATCTACATTAAAAGTTTAGCTTAACTAAGCTATATATATAGTATATATAGACCCAGTAATTATTCAACCTAGATTAACCATGTTTTAGTTGCATCTTTTTAAAAAATTACTTCCCTCATGATATTCGTTATCGATCTCCTCAGCTTGTGGCGAAGTCAGAGGCATATGCAGCTTTTCGTGTTATGGGTGTGTCGGAGTCGACAAAAAGGCGTAATATAATCTAATAGTCTAATATATATACAGAGTTTCTTCCTGGCATCTCAAATGGGGGGCTAAGCCCCCGCGAATTTTTTTTACCGCCCCCCGAACGAAATGAAATTTATATAATTTATATAGAAAATATATACTTTTAACAGTGTCCGCCCCCCCGAAGAAAGTTTACCCCCCCCCCCCCCCCGAAAATTTCAAGTGCCCCCCCCCCCCGGAGAAAAAAGTCTGGAAGAAACACTGTATATATAAAGTTGGATTCTGTATGTAGGCCCTGTGTGTCACGACTATGTGGCCGCGGACATCTGACCCATGATTAAAAAGAAATAGAGGAAAAAGAGTTGATCGCCATAGTGTGATATATCTAAAGTGCTCATCGTCTAAATAAATGATATATAAATTATTATTGAAGGGGTTATAAAACAATTTTAATTTTCCAAACTTATAGTGTTAATTGTTAATTGTCGGCATGTGCAATAAAAAAAAATTTACATTTAGTCTTTTAACACTCATTACGTCCCTTGATAAATTAGGAAAACACAATTACTTCCCTTTAAAAAAATAATTGTATCGGGGGAAACATTTTTACTGTTTTTGGTGTTGGGAAAAAATAATTACAAAATTAGCGTGGATTTATCAAGTGCAACGCGGTAGGTATTTTAAATACTGCCTTTTATTTATTTTATACACTGAACGTACTGTTTACTAAATATTATTTTAAAACAAAGACACATGACGTAAAAAATACATCTCTATTCGGGAACGGGAATTCCCGCAGGTTAATATCTGTTTTTTTTAAAATAAAAATTGACAATTATCATTTTTTTTAACCTCATTCAGAGAACATCTTTAATCCTACTGATTTAATGATTAATATTTATGAAATGTTAAAAGTTACCATGACCCCAATAAGAAAAAAATGAAAGAACAAATAAATTTACCATATTTTTTTTTGTTTGAGATAATTTTATTTTTAAAATTATATGAATGATAAAATTATTGATACAACGTTGTTAACAATTTTAAAAAAAGCAATAAAGCAATCTTAAAAACTTAAATCATTTAAAAACAATAAAGAAAAACAGCAAATTAAAAGCACAAAATGGTGATTCATTTGTTCTTACATATAATTTATATTATTCATTATTAATTTAAAAAAAAATTAAAATATCTAAATGGTTCAAGTTAAAATGTTGTCCTATCAGCAGTCTGGCTCTGATACCACTATCTGTCTACCTTTGGTATGCTTAATACATAATGATAAAGCTTATTCTTTATTATTACATCACCATTATTATAGTGCAATTAGCATTTGCAACACTGTTAAGCGTATAACAAGTTTTTCATATATATTTTTTAAAATGGTGCAGAGGATTGAAATGCATTTAACTTATTAAATTTATTTCCAAACTGGAAAGTAAGGTTTTTTAATTAGTTCTCATGGTTGTGGATTAGATTAAACTCGTAAATAGAGGTACAGCTGTAAAATTTTGAATTTAAAAAAGGCTAAATGTGACTATTAGTATTATTTGAATTAACAAATATAAGATAATTTTTGACTAGTTAGTAAAATCACATGACAAGATGAAAGTGAAACAGAAAAAGGTCTATGTGCACTTATAATTTTTTAATTTCATGTTGCTTAACAACTAACATCCACAAAAACATCATAATTGATAAAAAAAAAAAATAGTTTGATCATACAACAATTTCTACAATTGAAGAAAAGATGAATTACATTGAAAGTAAGAAAATATTCTAACCAAATGACTTTCTTAGTCTATTGAAATCTACTTCATTTGCCCTATGGATTTCTAACAACAAAAAGAGAACTTTTTTTTTATCATACTCATTTCACTTTACTCAAGAACGAATAATCTTGTGTTGAGATAGAGTACCTTTATGGATAACTGTATTATAACAAACATTGCCCTTTTATGGCTTATAAAAAAAAAAAAGAGTTTTATTATGTTGATATTATCTGTCCCTCCTAACAAATTTTCTTCGACAAACATTGCACTTGTCTGGTTTATGAGATGAATGGGTTTTATTTTGCTTAGATAAGTGGTCACTCTGAATAAACTTTTTATGACAAATATCACATTCATATTTTTTCTTTACAGAGTGAATTTTTCTGTGTCTAGTTAAATGAGTCTTAAGAATAAACATTTTATGACAAACATCACATTTATGTTGCCTAACCCCAATATGAAAACTCTGATGTTGAGATAAATTACCTTTCTGCATAAACCTTTTAGGACAAACATCACACTTATATAGCTTAACTCCAGTATGAATTTTTTTATGTAGTTTTAAACTACAACGCTGGGTAAACTTTTTAAGACAAACATCACATTCATGATTTTTTTCTCCACAATGAATTTTTTTATGTTTATATAAATAAGACTTAAGAACAAACATTTTAAGACAGACATCACACTGATGATTTTTCTCTCCGCGATGAAGTTCCATATGCATATTTAAATCAAACTTGCGGGCAAACATTTTATGACAGATACAGCATTCATGTTTTTTATATCCTGAATGAACATTCTTATTTTCAGTTAAATTATGCATCTTGATAATTGTTTTTTGTTTTGATAATTTGCTATACATTTCAGGATAATCACAACATTTATGTGTCTTATCTGTAAAATTAATTTTTGTATTACAAAGATCACATTTGTTTTGTTTAAGTTCAGGATGAACTTTGGTATGTTTAATTAAATTAGTTTTCATGACAAACATTTTATGGCTAACATCACATTCATAATGTCCTTCTTGAAAATGACATTTACTATGCAGAGATAAATTAGACTCAGTTTGTGTCTCTCCTGTGTGGAGTTTTATATGCTGTGTAATGTGATCCAAACTCACAAGTCTTTGATTACACATATCACACTTGTATATCTTACCATTCTCATGAATTAACTGATCATTTGAAGATAAAAGACCAATGGATTTAATGCATATAGACTTGAGCTCTTTTAAATCATTATAAACCAAAACAGATAACTTTTCTATAACAGCAGATGAAGATAGTGAGTTGATGGTCATATCTTTTAAATCATCCTGGTTATCAAAAAAGGAGACTGTTGATACATCTGGTTTCATGTCCTCAGAATTTGTAAATGTTGAATCATCTGATTTGATGTCCTCACTAGTTGAAGTTTTAGTTAAAATATCTGGCTGCAAATCCACATCATATTCCTGCTTAACTGGTAGTGTACTTGGCAATGTTTTAAAAATAGTTTCTCCTTTCATTTCTCATAGCTTAGCTTAAATATGGACAGAAAAAAAAAAGAAAATAAAGAGATGATTATAAAGATAATAGCTGAAAATTTAATTTATTACATACTGTAGGATAACATTTTAAAGAAAAGTTATATCGAGGAAAAGAACATAAAACAATATACATATTTATTTGATATACAATTGTGTTGACTGTAAAAAAAAACAAACAAAAAAAAACAACCAAACTAACAAGTATTCTAAATGAAAAGATTTTCAAATCTTTATTTTTAACTTAAAAGCTTTTTAGCAATTAACTTTCAAAACAAAAAAGATTCACTCTGTACTTAAGAGGCCTAAGTACATAGATAAAACATCATGTTTATATTTTAAAATTTATAAAAGCTGTATCTTGAAATGTTTAATATAGCAATCAAATTCATTATTTTTTATGTATAATGTTCTACTTAAGTAGTTTTTATTCAATATATAACATTAGACAAGGTTAAAGTAAATATAAAAAAGTAAATATAAAAATAAAATATAAAAAATACAGGCCTATAAAAAATATAAAAAAATATATAAAGTAAATATAAAAATAACTATAAAGCTATGTATTCAATTATTTATTTATTAACTTATTAGTTAATTAAAAATATATAATTAGATATAACCAAAAGGTTTTTATTCAGCTCATTACAACAATATAAAATTATAAACAATATTCACAATATTTAAGTTTAAGATTAAAAGACCAAAAGCAAAATTTATAATAAACCAATTTAAAAAAAATCTCCAGTAGACCTATTACTTGATTACATAGATCTCTAGATCTAGGGCCTAATTATATAATGACTATATAATCAACCCTTACAGTATTGACTTAGATATACTTTTGTGTAAACATTGGGGCTTTAGGCCTAATATATAATATTTAAATATATCAGATATCAATAAGTGTAAACTCTGAATTCAGGATGATCAAGTTTTTCTTTGGTAATCTCATGATAGAGCATTGTTTTCTATACCAGACTGAGAATGGTATAGCAGTAAAAAACAGTAAAACCATGGTGTAGTCTGTCACGCCATTCCAGAATCCACCAGAAAAATTGTAAGCCATATTTTATTTGGCGCCATATTATCTTTATTACATAATTGATTTTATTTGCATTTTAAGTGTATGTGCTAATTATTGCTGCTACTAAACATTGTTAAGTCCTTCTTACTACTTTAGACTTAAGTAAATCTAATCATCTTTACATTTTACTAGGCCTAGATTGGGGTCATCCATTTATGAAGCCCACACGCGCGGGGGAAGGGGGGTCCGAAAAAAACTGACTTTTGTGGATGCATATGGACTTTTATAAGGAAAAAAAAGTGGATTTTTGTGGGGGGTCCCAAAATCTAAAAATAATTGTGGACGTCATAAATGGATGACCCCATTTCTAGATCTAGATCTAATCTAGTTGTCGCAAATCTTCAGCAAGGTTTTTCTTAAAAAAATATTAATTACTAAACACAACTTTATTATTAATATTTATTTAGATTTACTAATTGCTGCTAAGTTTCTGTCAATTAAACTTAAAATGAGTTGAAAAATTAATTTAAATAATGCACTTGACTTTATTTATATTTAGGCCTATAAATATTTATTATTTATATTTCAACAGTCAAATAAACTATGGTAGTTTACAGTAATGAATGTTTACGAAACTCAACATTACCGGATAATTTCAGATGCTATATTATCTTTAATTAATCTTTACTATAGGACACTTTAGGTTTTAGCAAACACCATTATTTTTATCACTTACTACTAGGTCTAGATCTAGCTGGTTTTAGTAGGCCCTATAGACATAGAATCTAGTACAAGATCTAAATTTGGTAACACAGAATTATTGATGAGGCCTAATTATAGGCCTACTCAATACTGCTTACATTAGGAACTAATATATTATTAGAACTAGTAGTAGTTAATTGAGCCCTATTACTATACTAAACTATACTGTAGAAACTGTAGATCCAGCTAGTTAGATCTCGACTATATACTATAGAGGATAATAGGCATATAGCCTAATACTATAATTAAATATAGTATATCGGTAAAGATCTAGACATATTAATGTATATTGTATAGGCCCCTAATATAGGCCTATTATTAATTAATCTAGGCCTAAATCTATGTGAATTCTATATGACTAAAAAAAATTACTAGGCCTGCAAACAATTGTTAAAATTCAAAGATAAAAGATAGTTTACAAAAAAATATTACATACGCTATGCCTAATTACTTTAATAGACACCAGCGAGTTGATGAGATTTCTTCTATAATGTTGTTGACATGGAATAAAAACTCGCTTTTTAGATTTAGACCGTAAAGAAAAAAAAATTAAGCCTAAAATTAATTTAGAAATTTTATATTTTAAGATGCTATAAAAGTTGCAAATCCAGAGAACTTGAAAATAATTTGTTGAGTTTTATTTAAGGCTACTTTTCTATTTATTTTCATCAAGACTAAGTTAAATCCGGATGTTTCACATTCATAAGACAAATATTGATTGGCTGTACAGTAACTTAGTGATCGATAACTATTTGTTTACAAAACTTTGCAGATCAAGTTTTTAATTAACAATGCAAATTTAAACCCCATGACCTAGTTTTTCTATTTTTAGCTTACAATGTGTACAGTAAAATTTATGGCGGCCTATCGAATAGCAGGATGCCATTGTGTATGTCGCCATTACACATGAAAACCAAATTGTTTTTGCTTTTCTTATAATTTTTATTTAGTTACCGAAAATATTAAAAACATCAGATAGGCCTAGATCTACATCCAATCTTTATGCTTTAGTAAAGTCCGAAAAAAAAAGCAGACAGGCAGGATTTTATAACCATATTAATTGTAACTAGGCCGTGCATGATTTTAAAATTAATTTATGGACCTCTCAAATACCTTTGAGACTTTTCTCGCTGGCATCCATTAGATCTTAATTTACTAGTTAGTGTCTAGATCTAGATTTAGCAGCAGTTAACTAGTACTAGACCTAGGCCCTACTAGCTACAGCTAGGCCTAATTCTGAACTAATTCAAATTATTCGGTAATCTATCGTTTTAGGTACGTAAAATCGCCCGCAACTAATAATGTGAAAAACTGGTGACTCCTTACATTTTAATAATTATTTCACATTTTGAGGAGGATTTATGTTTTGAAAAATACCAAAATATTTCCTTGTTTCATTTATGTACCGGTTTTTAAACAATTGAATTAAAACTTTTCAGTAATAAATGAACACCAGCGATGTTTCCAACAGATGCAACCATGCTCATTTACTATAGCACTATAGCAGACATCTTGTTAGTTTTATTTTTATAGACTTTTAGCCGAGATTCAGGCGGAAGTCACTCTATTTTACAAATGGCTGCTGTTTATATTTATATAATAACTTAGAGTCTGTCGGGCCGTTTTCCCCGGAGGTCGGTCGTTTTTAGCGGCGGTTCAGTTTTTACGGAGAGCGCTCCACTAGAAATCCTCTCATTATTTACAACAACAAATATCTCGATTTTTTCTGGCATTCTAAGGCATATTATCCATTTTATTAGCATTTTGCATTAAAATAATGATGAAAAATTGCGAGATTAACAGGTTTTTCATTTGTCGTGGATAGGACCCCTAAAATAAACGTAAAAACCGTCTAAAAACGACGCGTGACGTTTCAGGGTCAGAGGTCAATCCAGCCATCTAAGCAACGCGCCAGATTATAATATATAGCAAATCTTGCTTGCAGACACTGCTGTTTATTAAAGTCAATTTCTGACCTATATTGATATATTTAGCCATTGATTTAGGTTCATTATTCATGTATCTATAATATTTGACACAAACATATCACAATATACTTCTATTACAGCCTTGACAATGAGGTAACGTTTTCGTACATTAATAGCCGCGGGCGATTTTACGTACCCAAAACGATAGATTACCAATTAATTAATGCCTGCCTTCCTATTATTTTATTAATAATTAGATCCTACTCTATATTTTTAATCTATAATACTATAATCATTATTATCTAGATCTAGAGGCTATATCTAATTTCTAGATCTAGATTCTAGTCGGATTTGTCTTACACTATTCTTTAGCTCAGTTGCAGTCTCAGTGTTACACGGTGGTAATAAACTTGTTTTCACGTGACAAGGAATAATAATTATTTTGAAATCAATTTCCGGCCTAACTACAGATTTAGTATCGCAGTTTTATTTATTATTAAATATTAAATAAGCCTAAGGGGTCATCCATAAATGACGTCACACTCGTAGGGGGGAGGGAGAGTCCGTAATTTTGTGACGATGTGTGGGGAGGGGGGGGGGGGGTCAGATGTTGCGACGTCACACTTTTGCATTATAAAAAAGCAATGTTAGAAAACGAATTTTAGACGTTATTTCGAGTTTTAGACAACTGTTTTAATACATTTTAAAAGTTTAGACCTAGACAAGATTTTAGAAAAATATCGATGTTTTAAAAAAATTCAACTGAAATTTTGAGGGGGGTTGTAGGTTGAGGTGTGACGTCATTTTAGGGGGGGGGGGTCTGGCTTTTTGTGACGACGTGTGACGGAGGGGAGGGGGGAGGTAAAAATCGTCAATAAAAGCGTGACGTCATTTATGGATGACCCCTAATTTAAAAAAAAAATATACCGGGAGTGATCTCCCCTAAACTTTCTCGAGTATTCTTATATAGCACGACGAGGGATGGCAACTCGGGCAATAGACATTATTTTTAATCAATTTTTAATTACTTCAACTTTTTAAAATAACAAAATCTCTTAAGAAAAAAAAAGATGAGAATGCCAAGAGTATGGCAAACAAAATGTTTATGATGGTGCAAAATATTATTAGTACTAGGCCTATATTATATATATATATATATATATATATATATATATATATATATATATATATATATATATATATATATATATATATATATATATATATATATATTGTAATATATTGAGAACTGTGAAGTCAAGGGTACTCACTCTTCTTGTATTAGTATTATATTTATAATGTTGTTTTTGAGTGATGCCCCTTGTATTATTGTTTGGTACTTCCTGTTCCTGTTCCATCATGGTGGCTGAGGCCCAATAAAGTTCTATATACAAACAGCATGGTTTCTATTGTCAGTGTTTCAATCTACCTCAATTGGCGACGAGGATAAATCAATCCACTAGAAAGAGCACCTGCTTACTTAAAAAGAAGTTTGCTAGAGCATATTGGCTAAGTATTTCTAGGATAATGGCGCTGTATGGCCAAATAAAAGAATTTGATTCGAATGATGAAACCATTCATGATTATCTAGATAGGTTAAGCTTTTACCTTGAAGCTAACGACGTGACGATAGAAGCCAAAAAGAGAGCTGTTTTGTTAACAGTCATAGGGCCTCAACAATTTAGGCTACTAAAGGACTTATGCGCACCAGCTAGTCTAACTACCAAGAGCTTTAACGAGCTGAGCAAACTGCTAACAGACCACCATGCGCCCGTACCATCAAAGTTCCTGTGTAGAGCCAGATTTGACGGTAGGACTCGTCAACCAAACGAATCAATATCAGAATATGTTGCTGCTTTACGTCATCTAAGTGAATTTTGTGAATTCGGAGACACGCTGTCCGACAGACTATGTGAAAAGTTTGTGACAGGTGTAAATAGCCCTGATGTTCAAAGAAAGTTGCTTCTCGAGTCAGATCTCACATTGGAAAAAGCAATACAACTAGCAACTTCATTCCAGCAGTCATCTGAGGCGGCGAGATCTCTAGCGCCCTCAGGGATCCATGCAGTAGACAGCAGGTTAGTCAACAAACACCAACCCCATCAGAGCATTTCAATTTATGCTAAACAGCCTGCAAATTCAAATCCTAGATCTAAATCTAGTAATAATTATCAAAAATGTCATCGATGCAACGGTCCCCATGCATCTCATCGATGCAAGTTCAAGTCAGCAACTTGTTATAAGTGCAGTAAGCAAGGTCACATTGTCAAGGCCTGCTTTGCAAAGTCTTCGTCTGTTGCTAAATCTAGCCAGTCAAGACAGTACCGCAACCAAAGGCAGCACTATGTTGACTCTCACCAAGACTACCTAACCCAACTAATGAACCACTCTACCTGTGAAATTGCTCAAACTGATTCGCAGCCGGAGTTCAACCTGTTCTCTGCGAAATCAAAAAGTCATGCTCCCATCAATGTACCCGTTTATATCAACGGTAAGAGCATTATCTTCCAACTTGACACTGGAGCATCTCTAACTGTCATCACAAAGAAGGACTTTGACGCTGTCACAGGAGGATCAGTTCCTCTACAACCATGTCACAAGTGCCTAACAACATACACAGGTGACAATGTTCCGGTAATAGGAGAGTGTATGGTTCATGTAAGTTATAATGGTCAAAGTGTTAAACTTCCTCTTCTTGTGGTTGAAGGAAATGGACCACCATTACTAGGTAGGAACTGGTTAGTTGATCTTAAGTTAAACTGGGAGAGTATATTTTCAGTGAACAAAGCAAGAGAATCTAGTTTTACTTCAATAGATAAAGTTGTATCTGAAAATGAAAGTGTTTTTGGTAGTTCAGGATTACTAAATGATAGGACAGTGAAGATAAGCATTAAAGACACAAATCCAAGATACTGCAAAGCTAGAGTTCCACCTTATGCAATGAGGGATAAAATTGAAAATGAGCTAAGTAGATTGGAATCTAATGGCATCATAAAGAAGGTAGACTATTCCGATTGGGCAACGCCCATTGTGCCAGTGTTAAAGAAGGATGGTTCTGTAAGAATTTGTGGAGCAAATAGAGCTAAATAAGTACCCTATTCCTAACATTGAGGACATTTCTTTGAATTTGGCAGGAGGAGACAAATTCACTGAATTAGACTTTAGTCATGCTTACACTCAACTAGAACTGCATCCAGATTCAAAAGTCTATACGACAATAAACACACATAAAGGACTCTACCATCATGAAAGACTATGTTTTGGTATATCATCCAGCCCTGGAATTTTCCAAGCTGTCATGGACAGTATTTTTAAGGATATTCCAAATGTTTGTGTTTACTTTGACAATGTGTACATAACTGGTAAGAATGACACTGAACATTTTAAAACACTTGATAAAGTCTTGAAAATAGTTGGTGAAAAGGGTTTAAAGATAAACAAAGATAAATGTCAATTCATGCTGACAGATATTAGTTTTCTTGGTTATATTTTGAGCAAGCAAGGTATCAGACTTCAACCTGAGAAAACAAAAGCCATTAAAGAAGCACCCAAACCTGAAAATACCCAACAACTAAGAGCTTTTTTGGTCTTAATAAATTACTATGCGAAGTTCATAGGGAATCTGTCTGGTAAACTATCACCACTGTACGAGCTGCTGCAGAAAAAGGCAACTTGGCACTGGGGTAAACAATAAGATGCTGCTTTTAATACAGCAAAAGAAGCTTTGTCTTCTGACACCTTACTAACTCACTATGACCCAGGGAAAAGACTTATCTTAACATGTGATGCTTCACCAGATGGAGTAGGAGCAGTTTTATCCCACATAGATGAAAAGGGTGACAGACACATTGCTTTTGCCAGTAGATCTTTGAACCAGGCTGAGAAAAATTATTCTCAGTTAGATAGGGAAGGCTTGGGCATCATTTTTGGTGTTAAGAAATTTCATAAGTTTCTGTTTGGTAGGGAGTTCACCATCTTTACAGATCATAAACCATTGCTAGGTTTATTTGGGGAAAACAAACCCCTACCTGAGCATGCCTCACCAAGGATTCAAAGATGGGCTATCACACTAACTGCATACAATTATGAATTGAAATACAAACCTGGATCTGAGAATAGTGCAGATAGTTTTAGTCGTTTACCTTTAAAAAACCAAAGCCTTAGTTATGTACCAGAAGATGTATTTGTTCTTTTCACTATCATGGATAACTCCAATATAAATGTGAATGATGTTAAAAGAGTAAACAGGTTCTTAGCCAAATACCGCACAACTCCTCATATAACAACAGGTGTTGCACCATGTGAATTGCTATGTGGTAGGAAAATTAAAACTCATCTTGACCTACTACATCCAACTGTTCAAAGGTCTGTTTCCCAACATCAACATACACAAAAAGTAAATCATGACAAAACATCCATTGAAAGAGAATTTGGAGTTAATGATGATGTGTATCTGAGAAATTATGGGAGAGGGGAAAAATGGATGCCAGGTCAAATTGTTCAATGTACAGGACCTGTGTCTTATAAAGTAAAAACAAATGATGGACTTATTGTCCGTAGACATGCAGACCAGTTAAAAATAACTTGTGCAGATAATAAGTGTGAATCTGTCAATCCCACCAAATCTGAACAGTTCACACCAACTCAGTTTGTTTCACAACCAAGTTCTGTTGATATGAGTGAACCAAGTGGTCTAGAGTCAGAAAATGTAAATTCTGGAATTAATGATTTAGATCTTAGACCTCCTGAGATAGAGAATCCAGATGGTCAGAATCGTGAGTCACCAAATCAAAAGCCACTGAGAAGGTCAAGCAGGACAATCAAAGTCCCAAATAAGTTAGACCTATGATTTTAAAGGTCAAAAGGACTTTGACATCATTGTTTTGTATTTTAATTATGTTGTAACATATTGTGCATTGTTTGTAAGGATGTAATCTACCAAATGATTTAAATTATGTAATGTTCATGTTACAATATAATTGGTGATTTTAGGATACTATCAATTGTTAAATTTAGAGATGTGTTGTTGTTTACTAAGGGTAAAGGGATGTAATATATTGAGAATTGTGAAGTCAAGGGAACTCACTCTTCTTGTATTAGTATTATATTTATAATGTTGTTTTTGAGTGATGCCCCTTGTATTATTGTTTAGTACTTCCTGTTCCGGTTTCCATCATGGTGGCAGAGGCCCAATAAAGTTCTATATACAAATAGCATGGTTTCTATTGTCAGTGTTTCAATCTACCTCAGCTGAGATCTAAGAACAGCAAACCCTGTGGGGCTGGGTATCACGGAGGTGAAAAATTTTCTGGGGAAGGCAGCGGTACTGAATCCTCTTTGGTCTCAACCCTGCTGAACCATGATGGTCATAAATTACATAACATACTATCTCTGCTGGGCTAGGTTCTAAGAACAGTAAT